CACTAGGTCGACGCTGTGCACTTTCAACAACAGGCACCATCTGACGCTGGTAACCCATGGAACAAAGGGTCATCGCAAACCACGCCGCCTGGGGCATGAAACACGGACCCTCGCACAGCAATTTCTCGAAGCTCCCTTTCCCCCAGGAAACCAAGAAACTTCCAAGGCAATCGAATAACCCCCTCTAGGGACCTGGGGAAGATGAGAAATCTCGACAAGGTTTCCTAGCCCAACAACAAACGTTTCCACTCTGGAAAGATGACCAGCTCCACCGCCCAGGCCCTTCCCCTCCCCTGCATCTTGCGCTCTATTTCACTGTAATGCCTCATATACCTCTCTGCTGCTCGTTGGTTGAGCACTGTGCGGCACCCCGCTCGGCGACGGCCTGGGCTCGCGGCATCGCAGGTGTCGATGGGCCTCCCGACTTTGACACTCGCAGCGCTAGGGAGCCGTGGCTTTCGCGCCGTCGCGTTGGTCGTTCGGCCTGCAACGTGGGTGAGGGGCTTTTGGTGCTGCTAGGAGGCATGTTTTTTTTGCCGGCGGGTGCCACAAGCAACCTTAATAATCAAGCCTAGACGGGCCCTGGAAAAGGCTTGGGTCAAGGGCAAGATTGGATGTGAGTCAAGTTGATTGCGTGAGATGAGCCACGGCGACGACATTTTGGCAACACGTCACGTGCTCTCAATTCAACAATCAGAAAAGACGTCGTTTGGGCGTTGGCTCGCATGACTTCCTGCACAGCATGTGGCCCTGTAAGCCCACTGTTTCGCTGTCAGTCCTGGTAGGTAGCCAACTGTCAGCACAAACGTATTACTCTTCCCATAGGTGCAAAGGGTTTGGACGAAGGGCCAACCTCTGATCATAAGGTCGACACGTTGCTCTACATTCCAAGACCATATGCCAAGGGCAGAAGCCGATTGGAAAGCCTGGCTGAGCTCTTTGTCGTCATCCAGTATGCACATCCAGAGCTGATCGCCGTACCAGGCAAATGGGCGTTGACACCGCTGGCCAAACCGGTGACGTGGCAAGCCTCAACGAAAGGCTGCCTCGGCGGGCGTCGGTCGTCAGAAAACCCCAATAGTATCATGCGCAGTGTCGAATTTGTGCTTCCACTCCACCACGAGCGACTCGTCATCATACTGCTCGATCAGACTTGAATGGCTTCGATCAAACGGTGTGCCATTGTTGAATTTCAACGGTTGATCTCAGGTTGCACGACCTGCCGAGCCGAATGACAATATGATACCCTGAGTCTATGGTTCGGATGTGCCAGAACACAAGGCATACCCACGTTTCTCCAGGTGCCTTAGGTCATGCCGCCGGCTATGTACCACTGGGTCAGTATACCTTGGCTACTGAGCCGACAACTATTCATCCATGGCCATCATTCCACCGAATTTGCTACGTCGAGCAGCCTCGCCGAGCAACCTGTCGTGCATTTTGCACTTTAACCATCTTCGTTATTTGACAGATTCCGAGACAGTGGCTGGATGGCCCTGTGCGCTTCCATCTCGGTACACGCGACCCCCCGATTTGACGGGCCAACGTTGAAGCATGTCATCGCACAGTTTTTTTGCCTGTTGCGTTGCGCAGGCTGGCTGGCTCGTTGGAAGCGCAAGTTGCAAATTTGCGAATGCGTACACTAGGGCGTGACGCTGCACTAACGACGTTACGATGCTGACTATCTTGCATGTTCCTCAGTCTGACAGTCTGGCTGTCTGATTTTTATTTCTACCGCCCGACCTCCAGCATATATACCATACATTCCCCTTTTGCCAGCCCATTAATTTTCTTTCAGCTCTCATTCTACTCTCAAGTCCGTGAATTTTGTGTTCCAGCCTCGTATCAAGTCGACACTGTCCCTAGTGGATGCTTCACAGAAACTATGAGCGCCAACAAAACAATGCCCGAGGAACTGGCTCTCGGTCCAAAAAAGGACACAATTGGAATCATCGGCTATATGGGATACCGACGAGATATCGATGCAAACCTCCGCGCCGAGAGTAATGAAAAGGGATCATTGATTGAGTCGGACAACGCCATTGATACATTTTTCAGTGAGTTGCCTTTCATTTCACATCGAGAAGTACAGTATCTGGTATCTTGGTACAGTCTGACCGAGCCTATCACTCTGAAGGCTGACACTTGGGCATTGTTTCAGGGCCTAGCTGTGCAACAAACAGACAGTACGTCAACGGCCAAACTTACTTGACGAAAGACACAGGCAAGCAACCTGCCGTTGAACCAAGCCCAAGCAAAGGGAGAGACAGATGCGAAACTCAGAGAATACCAAGAAGCTCCGGGATCTCGTCTCGTCGTCTCGTAGCGCTGCTCAGTGAGTTCGTTGTTGAGCAGATCCTTTCAGGCTCCATGTTCGCGAAGAACGGCTACCAAACCTCTGTCAACCGTCGTCTGCTCACCCTCTGTCAGAAATACCAAGAATTTGATCCAACCCATGTATATGATGAGCCCCACCCTGAGCACTTTCGGCGCCTTCAGTTGACAGAACTGCAATTGCGCGCAGTACTCAAGGACGAGCATCCCCATCTCATAGGGTCCCTATGTAGCCTTTGGACCCAAGCTCGGTGGTTGGGTGACAGATGTCTGAGCTCCTGGTTTCTGGAATTTCTAACCAAGGATTGTAAGGTGGTTCTAGGGGAGAGCCACATCATTACAAGAGTATTCCAGGAGCTATGTGACAACCCATACAAGTCCAATCCCCTAGGATGCCTTGATCTTTTGGTCTGTCTGCCGAAAGAGTTGTTTCGTCAACGAGAGGTTGATGTTACCTTGAGAGAACCCACTCAGGGAAATATTTCACCTGGGTCCAAGAAGGAAGCCATCAACGATTACAGTGAGTCTGGCAAGTCCGGTCCCGTCAGCCAGTCAGCACAGTCAGCTGGCCGAGCCGGAGAAAAGCCTGCAGTTGGTTCTGGTACCAATCAACGCACAATGAATTGGTTAGGCCAGCCAGAGGAAGAAATCAGCCCAGGCGCGGGACAATCTGCCCATGTGGCAAAGTCTTTGGGTGCTGCCATCGAAATGTCCGAATCAGGTCCTTTGCAGACAGCGGCCTCAACCAGTGAGTTTTATATCGACGAGTCACATCAGCAGCACTTCTTGGCCTCCAATGAAGACGATTTGTCTGTAAGCGAGACGACGTCTGTGTCCGAAGCAGTTGACTCGTTGTCAATAAGGAAGCAGCAAATCGTCGATAGCATTGTGAGATTGTACGTGGAACAAATCGATGTTTGGACGGAGAGACTAGTGAGCTACGCCAAGGGTGCAACCGGAACGACCGAAACTGGAAATGGGAGCAACGGATTCTGGGACCTGGTAAATATGCCTGCCGGATCCACTCCTCGTCCAAATCGGAAAAGAAAGTGTTCAGACAAAGGTAAAGGAGATGAAGATTGCGAGAATGGAGACGGCGACAGCGAAGGCGAACCCGCAAAGAAGAAGCCGAGCCACGATGGTAACACAAGATCCTTTTGCTCGTCTGGGCTGCCCTTACCACAAGTTTGATCCCTGGTTCTACGACAACGAAACCTGCAGAAGCCCAGGGTGGAAGGACGTTGCGAAAGTAAAGTAAGCCGCATCTATAAGCCTTGATCATTGCGCCTCAATGCTAACACTGTCAAGGGAGAATTTAAGAAGTTATATCGATCTCATTACGTTCCAAAGCATATTGATCCTCGGTGCCAGATGGTCTGGAACATCGCAGAGTCGCTCGCAGATCACGCTCAAGAAGCCCAAGCTTGTGAAAGGCGAGTTCCCGTATGGACGTGCCAGGTGGGAAAGGTCTCAAGAGCAAAAACTTAAGGACAAGACGGGGATCCGAAAGCTGGACCGGCTGGATAAATGGTGGGAAGCGTACAAAACAATATTTGAGGTTGAAGACGACCACATACCCGACCCTTTTAAGTGGCATCTTGCTTCAAGATCCGTGTCGAGCCGCGGTGGTTAACATCCTGCCAGGCATTGGATTCGATAACAACGCAGGTCCAGAATCACTCGAAGATTACCTGAGAAGGGTGATACCCGGTCAAATACGAAGGATGGCGACAACTAAGGTTGATCAACTCTTTGGACCGCAGGCTAAAGCTTGCCAGGACTTGATGTTGGACTATTGGTTGGCCTCCTGGAACCTGTGAAGCAGCGAGTTCGGGCCTGCATGACCAGAGCTTCAACGACGCGCACCCGGGATTTGGGGATTTCAATGGATGAACGGCCACCTCCCGCTCCGGCAAATGTATCGCTCCATGCGTCGCAGGGACCGTCAGAGTCTTCGCTGCAGTCTTCCGGTCAAGAACAGACGCCCACGAGCTCGCGCTACCCAGCCGGCTCCGGCCGGTCCAGCTCTGGACGACCTCTGCCAAACCCATCTGCGCGCGATCCATGGACTCGATGCCAAAAGGATGCTGCTTCGCAAGAAACCAAGATCGCCGAGGCGGCGAGCGTTCTGTTTCAGGGTCCTCGCGGCGCGCAGTCCGACCCCAGAATATGGGGGATTCCCACCACGACGGAACCAGCACCATATCCGATGGCCGCACAGTTTCCACAAGCTGTAAATGATCATGGAAATCATACAATGGACCCTATGGCTCATTTCGACCGAACCTTTGCCAATCTTCCGCCGTCAAGCACCATCGCAATGCTTTGGCAAGATTACCCCTGTCCGTCGAGGTTGGACTTGCAGCCATGGTTTGGCGATGATTTCGACGAGGAAAATTGATGCAAGTTTCATAGCAGATGAGCTGGAGCCTCATGTTGATACTCATCCGACGCACTCTGTTGAGATGGACGTACATAATACTGAGACTGCGGGCGTCCCAGGGGAAGCAAGCGGGGGAGGCGGATACGACATTGGTCACGACAAAGACTGGGTGCAGATGGTGGGATCGAAAACGAGAGACGATCAAAGATGACCTCGTGTAGGAAAAGGCGTTAAAGGATAATTTGTTTGTCTCATGAATGAGTCTCAAGCAATATGACATCTTTCCTTCTCACAGCGTCAGGAGACATCCAGCTGATAAGGACCACCGTAACTACCCCGCCCCCGCACGTTGGACGTTCAGAAGCTCCGTTTCAGCAGTGTGAGGACGAGGTGGGGCCCAACCCGACCCTGACTTTCCACGTCCGTACCTCGCCCAGGTGACGCCGCCCCGATGCCCAAAGGCTCCTGAAAGTTTCCCTAGACTTCCCCCAAACTACCACCACGAACATCCCTCAGCCTTCTCTTCCACGACGACCCCATCCAGGACCAGCCCTGGAGGCACCACCACCCTTCTTTTCTGACGTACGACCCATCTCAGCCAACCGTTCCATCCTTTCCCCCCTTGACAGCAACGACGAAAGCCCCCGCCAGCCCATCATGACGACCTTCTCGCCCGACCCAGCCCTCTACATCTTCACCTCCCTGACAGCCGGCTCCTCGCACATTGTCACAGCCACGTCGCGCCTCGAGACCATCCTCCCCGCGAACCGCGTCCCCTTCAAGGCCGTCGACCTCGCCACAGACCAAAAGG